TGAACTTTACATACTGTAAGGTAGAGCTTTGCACTGGTGAAACCGGTGCCTATGACAAGAATAAAAATTAGTTTGCTAGGATAAATGATCAGTCAGTGAGAATGACAAAATGGGAAACAACTTTCATTTAGAACTGCGGAGCTCAGCCACATACATACACTGACATGCTGACTATATATCTTAGCATTTTGACTCTCGTGGTTAACATGATGCTGAAGGTACTTCTCATTTTAATGGCAATGAAAACTTCATTGATAGAATCTTTTGCTTTTCAGACAGGAGTTAATTGTTTTGGGTGAGTTGCAGCCATTTACAGCTTAACCACACTGTAATACTATACGCAAAACCTGTTTTGAGAAATGCTCTAATAATCATGAGAATGTTGAGTATGTGTCATGAAGTGTGCCATAGTAATTGAGAAAAACTATCTGCCCATTTAGATTTTTTTCTCTTTACACTTCAGTTCCTTAGTTCATTTGCATTGATGGTCATATTTAAAGTAAGACCACCGGTACTGTGGCCTCCCTCCAGACTTCTCACATTTTCCTCTCCCCCTCTCCTGAATCATCCTCTTCACATCCCTCTACACACACAATCGTTAATTTCCATTAACATCAAATGGATAAGGATAAAGGCCAGATCATACCTCTCATCCTGCACTACAACAAATGACTGATCTCCAATGCTCACTTATTGTATTAGTAACTGTATTGATGCTATCTATGAATATTAAGTTTTAATATTGGACTGCAGTTTTGGTATGTTTGTTAAACCTCAATAAAGGCAATATGCAATGTAAAACAATAAAGAAATAAATTGGTCAAAAAGCATTATAGTAAGTTGCAATTTTGATTCTGAGTGAAAACAAATATATAAAAGTAAATCATGATCAATATTTTTTTATTTGGGAAACTAAATATTTCTGAGTGTAATTCCACAGTGTTGTACATATATTTATATATCCACACAGCTTTTATTCTATTGTTTTTATTTTTGCGGCTCTATTTTTGTACTGTCCACTTTCTGCCATGACAGATATATATATATGAACCAACCGCAGCAATTCGCAGCCGAGCCCCCTGGCGACAAAATCTGTCAATTCCCCACATACAAAACCAAAAGTGCATCCAAAGTAGTGAAGTGTCGGCCTTTATGCATCGCTCCTTAAAAAGAGGGAACATCAATGTGTTAGGGCAGTGCAGTACTGGCCCAATGGTTAGGGAAGCATACTCATGATCAAAAAGGCTGCTGGTTCTAATCCCTGAATAGTGAGGTACCACTCAGTAACATACTGCCCCAGGCACTGCTCCCAGGATTTGGAAATGTGTATGACTAGTTGCAAAACAAAAAGAGCAGTGAAATGAAGTGCACAATAATATAACCCTAATTGCTAATAAGCTAGTTGAGCCTTTAAAATCTTTCCTCTTCCAGAATTTCACATGAACACGTTACAGTAACAATACTATACTAATCCTTCAAACAACTAAGAAACCTTCAAGCGAACAGTGTCCTAATTTTAGTAATTTCTAGTTCAGCATATAACCTCAATACGAAACCCCGTAAGCGCGAAAAGCTTCACAAGGGCGTTTGCTCTCTTCAGACTTTATAGGTGGCTCTTAAAAGAGCCTTTGGTTTCCTTTTGCAAAGCGGCAGAAGCTTTACTTGGAGCTGGTGTACTTGGTGACCGCCTTGGTCCCCTCAGACACGGCGTGCTTGGCCAGCTCGCCAGGAAGCAGAAGGCGCACGGCTGTCTGGATCTCCCT